ATATATAGATATATATATATATATATATATATATATATATATATATTCTGCTCTTTCTTCCCTTTCTCTTTCCTCCCTCTCTTTTATACAAACACATACACAGCCATTTTTATTATGTTCACTAATTGTCTCCTCCCCCAGAATGACACTTGTTTCTTGATACATATTGGTTAAATGTTACATGGAAAGCACAGGAAACACAGCTTGGGTATCAATCATGTCTTCCTTCTTCTATTTCTTTTTGTTCTTCATCTTCCATCACCAGTCCAACTCAGCTTTTTACTCAGGCCATGCTCATATTTCACAGTCCTGTTCTAGAGAAGGTAACAAGTTTCTGGAGAAGTGTCAGATAAGTATTATTCAGCTAATTTAATGTGGTAAGCACTAGCACGCTGCTAAGTGATGCCAAAGAAAGGGAGGCATTGAACCCAAATTGTGGAGCCTCTCTGAGTTCAAAAATCAGGAATGTAGGCATAACTGATAACTAGTGGGAGATAGACAATTGTTGTGGTGATATATTATTTATGTTTTATTAAAGCTTTCCTGAGGGTACAGAAAGCAAAGCCGCCCACAAGCTATAGAGCCAGGACTCAAGAGACAAGCAGGTGGATCTCTGTTAGTTCAAGGTCACACTGAGCTACATGAAATTGATCCAGTCCTAAAGAGAAACAGCTCACACAAAGGTGATCTCAGCACTTGGGATCACAAGCCTTTAGTCCTAATGCTAGGGAGGTGTAAAAGGGAAAAGCAAAGGGTCTCCAGTCACATTGAGGGGAGGCAACAGTCTAGGATTGCAGTCTGAAGATTCACAGAGCTTTCAGTCTGTTTTGACAAACAGCTCCTGCAGGAACTGCCTCGGATTTGGATTCTCAGCTTAGCAGGTCTAGGAGTTAGTTGGGCGTTCCAAGGGCCTCAGAGCTTCCCTTTTCCTTCACCTCAGTGCTCATGGCAGCTCTTTATTCCCACCATCCTCCAGGCTCCAGCAGGCTAGCTGGCTGTGCTGCAGGTCTCTGCTCCCAGCGCCTTGATGAGGCGTGTTTAATCTTCCACCCGGATTATTTAACCTCCGCATCCTTGTTAACAAACAGCCATTATTAACGAGATGGGAGACCACATGGGGTTGGGCAGCTACAGACAATGCAAACTCCCTTGGCTTTTCTGCAAGGAAATTCATAATCCTCAGTGACTTAGCCGCTCTAACGCTCCGGCACAGAAAACTGAGCAGAATACACGTGCTCTGGACCCTTCCCCAGGACCCCCGAGGTTGGATGATGCATCCTCAGCAAGACCGAGTTGCCACTCTCCCTTCTCTGCCTCCCTTGCTCGCTGCTCTCCCAAGGGGTTGCCACAGCGCGTTATAAATTTTACCTTTTCAGTGTGCAGGAGAGTCGAGAGGAGGCTGCGTCCCAGCTCTCGGCCTGCCCGTCCCCGAGGACACCAATTAAAGGCACTAATTGGACAGCAATACATCAAAGTCGCTCCCAGGAGTGGGTCCTCGGAGCGCCAGGAACCAAGGTTGGGCTTTTGTTTCAAATAGAGAAATACGGAAGAAGAAAATGAAAAATACAAAAATAAACCACCCGAGCACAGGGCTGGAGTGCAGAACGGATTCTCCTGCGTCCTCAGAATCCAGTTGCTCTCCCCTCATCCATCCTCCAGGCTCGGCACGGAATGGACCAATCTTCCCCGTTGCTGTGTTCTGAGGCCACCCCACTAACTTCCCTCTAAGAGCGCCTCCTAGAAGGCTCTCTCTCTCTGTGTCTCCCCGGGACAGGCTCTTTTAGCTGGCTGAGAAGGGATGAGGTTAGAACCTCAACGTGCTAGTACCCACCCCAGAAAAAACAAAAACAAAACAAAACAAAACAAAAAAACAACAGAAAAAACATCTCCCTGCCACAATCATGCCATACAGGTCTTTCCTAAACGGGCCAGGGGCAGGGATAGACGTTCTGGGAAGGCACCTGTCACCTCAAAGTTGTAACAATCACCCTGACTACTGAGTCCTGACAGAGGCCCTCTGATAAAGGGGAGACACAAAATGAGCCTGGCCTTGTAGGAAGAGATTATTTCAAGATTTAGCCTCAGGACAAGACACTTCAGGGTGGGGAGATCTGACGCTGCTGCTATCGGGTGGGAAGGGGCGGGGGAAGTAAAGCAGCAGGAAGAAAATCCAGGGGGCTACGGAACCAAGATCCCTTCAGTTTGGGAGAATGCCGGAGGAGACTGAGTCTGCAGAGACAAAAAACTGCCACCAACCTCCACTCGGAATGCACAAGACGGCTTCTGTATCTCCACCACCAAGGCCCGAGTCCACCTGGCAGTGGTGATCAGAGGAAGGCTGGAGTCCAGCTTAAGGGGAATTGAGACCTAAGCACAAACTGGGACCCCTGCGGGGCACTATTCCTCAAGATGCGGGGTCTGGAAAACTTGCTGGCTGCACCCTGCACTACGAAAGCAAGAGCCTAAAGCAAGCAGGGGCCAGACTAAGGTGATCGCTCAGGCAGCGACAGCTACAGCGCACGCGCCTTCAATTCTTGGCCTCACCTGGGCCCGAGAGAGGTCAGAATCCGCCTCTCCTCCTGAGCGGCTGTG